TATTAATATTTTTATTTTTTTAATATTTTAAGTTAAATATTAATATTCATCAAATTTATTCTCATAAACTTAGCATAAAAGTGTGTTTGTTGTTCTCTGAAATTTCTGTGGCTAACGCTATTGACTCGTAAAATATTTTACATTTGAAATTAATTTTTTATCTTCTAAATAAGCATAAGTTCTGAAAACATTTTTCAAAAAATATTTTACTGCAAAACAAATGGACCCTACACGTGAAAACTCATTTTGTTTGAGCTACATAATAGGAAGTATCCTTCTGCCATCCCATAAATCTCAACTTTTATTTCTTGACATTTGAACTTAAATTTCTAAATACAAAAATTTATGTTCCAACCATTATGTTGAAATAGGATTTTTTAAAAAAATATCAATATGTACTATATATATATATATATATATATAGTAAAACATCTATAAATTAATACCCTTAAGATCATGAAAAATTATTAATTAATTGAGATATTATTTAATTGATAAATTAATAATTTATTAATTTATACATTAATTAATAAAAAATTAATTTATCAAGACATTTTTTTTTCGAAACATTAAACTTAATACATGTCTTATGTATTGTGATTATATGAATATCATCTAATTATGAATTATCATTATTCTATATATTTATTTAACCAAAACAAGTTCATGAATATAACTAGTTTTTTAAAATAAAAGTCATAAATTTATTCATTTTGGCAATAAACTAAAATTACATTCGATGTTGGCTTCCAATCTTGAAGGTGTAAAGAAATCAATAATGACGGATAAAATGCATAATGCATTATGTGAATACAACAAAAAAATCTAAGTTACACTTAAAAGCAATTGTAACAGTGGTGTTAGAAAAGTTTAACTTACAAGTGAGTGAAGTAACAATATCAAATACGATCAAAAGGTCCTTAGAGTATTTATAAACCAATATTAATTTTCCTTTGCAATACGAGAACACTACACTAAAATTTCTTAATGCATTAAGAAAAGT